GCAGTGTCACTGGCCCTCATATGTGGGATCCGAACCGGGGCCCTCTGGCATCCCAAGCGAGTTCTTAACCATCGCGCCACTCGGCTGGCCCAGTTGTTGTAGCTGAGTCTTGATTGCTATGGGCACGTCATTGGGTGGGATTGAACCTCAGGCTGATTGGCCGTGGGGTTTAGCCACATCCACAGCTTATATGTTGCTGGGTGGGGTGCTTACCCCACTGAATGGGACTCGCTCCAGTGGGATCTGGTGCCTGTTGAGACCACCCTTTGGGTGTGCCACTTGTGGGGCTAATTGGGTGGTGTTCTGCTGTGGTCTGAAGCCAACTTTTAAGTATGTTGGTTCTGGGGCCTCTTGCGAGGGGTTCCAGTGCAGGCTCAGGTTACCCACTGCCTGTGACTGGTTGGGGACTACCTGGTAGGAGCTACAAAGTGATACACAGTTGTTTACTGCCTGTGCTAACTCTGGAGGTATGTGGGAGAGGCCACACTGAACTGAGGATGGCTGTTACCAGTACTGGGCTTGGGGTAGCTCTGCAGAAAGCCAGGTCACCCTGAGGCCTTTTGCCACTTGCTGGCTCCCTTAAGGTTCAGCCGTTGATAAAGCCTCTTGTGGTACACAAGTTGGGTGAGGCAGGGACTTAGGGAGTCACTAGAGTGGGAAGAGTTGTGGTCAACAAGTTAATGTAGATTCTGGTTTGGTGCCAGTGCTGAGTCTGGAGCTACTCAGCAAAAGTGTCAGAGCACACTGTGGCCAATTGCTGCCCACCTGGGTCTGATAGTTTTACAAGAAAGAGTGTAATATGGGCAGGGCTGGTTGCTCTCAGAGAAAGTTCCTCAGGTGTTGGGTGAGTTGGGTGGGGCAGGTTCCCAGTGAGTCAGAAAGGTGAATCAGCTGAGCTCACAGGCCAATCAGATTCAGATTTGGCCTGTGGGGATGGGTTCAACACGGGAAAGATGGTGCCTCCCTGCCGGCTGCACAGGAGAAGGCCCCCTCATAGGGAAAATGGCAACAGTCCTCCAACCCTCTCTGAAGCCACACACCTCAGCCTGTTCCCCCCATATTCCTACAATGCCCCCTGAGTTACTATCCCTCCACCGGAGCCCAAGGTGAGTGCCTGCAAGTGAGAGATTCTGCGTGCCAGCCCTTTGAAAGAGGATGTCTGGGTTTCCTCCAGCCTTCCACCCCACCCAGTCTGTCCGAATCCCCACTGTTTTTCACAGCTAGATGTTGTGGGGGCTCCTTTTCCTGGCACCACTACTCAGGGCTGGGGAGCCCAGTATAGGCTGGGGTGTCTCATTCCTCTGTGGGGAACGTCTGCAATGGAGATATCCCTCCTGATTCTCAACCAGCACACGGAGGTTTGGGGTTAGCCAGTTCCATGTCTCCACCCCTCCTACCAGTCTCGAGGTGGCCCCTTATAGCCTTAGTTCTAAAACTTGTTCAGCCAGGCTTCAGATGGTTCTCTAGTGTTATTGTTCTATGATTTAGTTTAATTTAACATGTTCATGGAAGGAAGCAGGCACAGTGTTTATCTACTCCTCCATCTTGGATCTCTCCTCCAACTATATCTAGTATTTACATGTTTAAATGACTCATTTCAGCAACTTTAATATTGTAAAGTTTTAAAAATTCATTATAAAGAAATGCATGCTTCTTAGAAAAATGAGAAAGTGGAAAAACAGTTTCACATAATTCCACAACTTGGAGACTGATTGCCCTATTTCAAGTTGTAACTCTCTCTGCCCTCACTCCTCTATCCACCCTACTACCTGTTCTCCTCCCCTGCTTCATTTTAAAAATAAATTCATCACCATTTAATAGATAGGTTCACTCATATGAAATCCCATTTTTTGAGGGCAAAAATTTGACTACTAGCATTGTCATATGGTCAACTCATACTCTATGTTTTAATTACTTGTTTTGTTTATTATTTTTTTTCCTCCCACTAGAATGTAAGCTCTTTGAGAGTAGAGATTTTTTTTTTCACTGCTGTATCCTTAGCACAGAAGAGATGCTAAATTACAGGCTGGGGAGTCATATCGACTTAAAAACCAGAGGCTGGAAATGGCCAGGAGACAGAAGAGATGATTGGATGAGGATAGAGGCTGTCAGTTGGGGAAGAGTGAAGCAGCAAACAAGAAAAAGAGGATAAGTGTTTGCAGTGTCCTGAGATGAGCATATATAGCTAGGTGTGACTTAGAAAGTCAAGTTCCTAGGTTCCTATTTCAGTGGCCCTTTCCCATCCTTCTTTAAATCATTGTCTGTGGCTAGCCCTGCCTTGGTTTCTGGCTCCTGAATTGATAACACTTTGACTTTTAGTACTCAAACAAAAAAGGGACATTAATTCATGTTCATTCTCCTCAACACTTCACTTCCTTTGGAGAAATCTGAGCCCCAAAACATTCTGTTCCTGAAGGACAAACACATGTGACCCTACTTATCAGAGCATGACACTTAGAACACTAGGGGTGAAGCATAATTTCTTTTGAGATACTGGTCAGAACCTGCTGGTCAGAACCTGCATTGGGCGTTCTCCTTCTCGTTGCAATGGAAATTTGAAATTACAAAGGATAAAATAATAACATAAATGTAGATAACTGCACTGAGAAATATGCAGAGTGCTTTTTTTTTTTTTTTTGGCCTGGCATCTATATTAAACCAAGGTGGCAGGTAGCTGATTTCTTTATGCTATAAGAGCCAGGATGATTTGATACAAAGATTTTNATAAAGAGCAGAAGAAAGAACTGAGTGTGAATGGGGTGTGGGTAGAGACTTGGGAGCCATTATATTTGGGGTGGAGAAGGTGACTTTGGATGATCTTGATATTCAGGGAGAGAAAGTTTGTATTTGATACAGCAGAAAATCTGGTACTTACATTTGGGATTTTGGTAAAGGAGTCAGTTTTAGAAAGATCAGGGAGGATATATATGCTCTGTGGCAGGTATGGAAATGAAGAGTAAGGTGTGGCTCCAAGAATTATCATTAAAAAAAAAGCCAGTTTGGTGATAACCAGGGTGTTATTGGAAAGAGTAAAGAGTTAAAGTTAAATGGGTAGTAAGGTTAATGAGGCTGAGAGGCATCCAGATACCTCTTTGTCCTTGAAGTTTCATGAGGATTGAATATGTTTGCAATTGAGGTATTGCATTTTCTCCCCCCTCTCCCCCACAGAGAAGCTTTATTATTATTAATGAAGCGCTCTCCTTTCACCTAGTACCATAAGTTTACTGTATGTGAAAATCCCAGGGATTGTTCAGGTATCCTTTATGCCCCACAGAATCCTAGGATGTTCCTTCCTAAGATGCACTGGCTCTCAGGGAGTAGCAACACCATCTGCCTCACACGCTGCATAAATATAGTTGCTCAGATGGATTTTATTCTAAAATAGCGTTTGTTTGTTTTTCTTTAATGTGGGAATTATACATTTTTACTTTGGAAATTTTGGATACTATAGAAACATATAAACAAAAATTTCAGATAATTCATAGTCCTGCTGTTTAGATTAGTTACTATTAATATTTTGGGGGGTCAAACAGAATGAGTAGTTGTGCTTCCTCCTTTATTCCGTAAATGCATATGATTAGTTAGTATGTTTATATTATGTTATTGGTAACACTGTATTTTTTTTAGTTTAGAGTCCCCTGAGAGTCTCTTGTGATTTTCTCCGGGAGTTCCAAGAATGGCATGGGAAATAGTGATTTGTTTTCCCCAAAAAAATTTTGATAGGTGATATTTGCAATAGGTAGATGGTCAGAAGTTCAATTTTGCTGTTAGGAAGATGTGGAAACCTCTATGAAATTATGTTTGGTACATTACAACTGAAATATTTTTAAAGTATATATTAGCGACAGGTAGAAAAGTTATTTTTAGATCACATTTACTATATCATTTTACTCTTGAATTGAGGATATTTGCTGTATTTTTTTTTTAGTGTACAAAGCTTAATTTTAACGGAGCCCGTCATTTAATATAGAAAAAAATGAAGTGCAGCCTTAGTGCAAATGAAATGTTTAGTACTTGAGGTTAAACCAGAAAGGCAGGGCACTTGCCCTAATTAGATGGTACTTCACTTCAAATTTGTGAATGCTTGGCTCCTGTGTAAATTTTTCTTTGTTTTCATTTAACCTCCATGTTGAGTTGGTTTTCTAATTTATGGTATTATAAACCTTTTTCAAGTGATCAAAAGAAATGCTTATCGTTTGATCGCTATGGCTGAATAACAAATACCTTTTATCTTTTTGATATTGCAGTTGACTCATGTTAACCAGGCAAGCTTCCAGGTTGATGCCTTTGGAACATCATTCATTCTCGATGTCGTGCTGAACCAGTAAGTGTGTTGAGCTGCGCTCACTTTTATCAGATACACATTGAATCCGCTTTGCTATCTTTCTGTAAAGTTTTGTTTTCTTACTGTATTTTATTTCATCTCCCTGTATCAGTTAAATATTACATTTAAAACTATCATATCTATTAAATACAATATCTATTATATCTATTTTAAGTTATAAAGCCTGGCAAATAACAGGAAATGGGTATCCTTTTGAAATGGAAAAGCTGTAACAGATTTAAAAATGTAAAGTGGAGAGCAAGCCTTATTCCAATATTCTACATATTGGAACATGACTTAAGTTCCTATGAATAACAATAAATTGTAAAAATAATACTTTGGCATTAAAACATCTTTCTTAAGAACAGCAGAAAAGAGAAAGTTACCCTTTTGTTCAATGATTCAGAGGACTGGCTGCATGGTGTGTTATTCTTTTTTTTTTTNTCATGACTCTAAAAATGCTCCGATTATAATAATTACTTGTTAGAACCCAGTAAAACCTGCATGCACCTCTGAGCTGCAGAATGAAAGCAAGGATGAAGCGACGGAAATGGCCTTCCTGGAGGTGGAATGCCTGCCCTGCTTCTGAGCGGTGTGACCTTGGACATGACATTTACTCGCCCTGGCCTCATTTCCCTTATTTGTAAAATAAAGATGTTGTATTATATGAGCTCTAGGGGTTCTCTCAATATTATTCTACAATACTAAAGTGTTTGATTAACAGTTTTTAAAATAACAAATCATATATAGTAATTTGAAAGAATGTGGTTCTGCACAATTATATTTGTCACGTATCTCTGAGAGCCATTACTAGCTTTTAATCTTCAAATAAAAGTTAATAAATATTAGAAATGTTCTTTGGCAATATATATTAGGCACCCCACTTCAAAAACTAAACAAACAAACAAAAAAGGAAAATCCTGGTATTGTACCAGGTTTCTGCTCTCTGTTATTAGTCATTCCTTTGAACTACTAACTAGGAAAAGGACAAGATTAACCTTTTCTGAGAGCCATCCTGGCCCACTTCAATGGCATTGAATAATAAGTTGGATTGTTAATATAGCATGAATTCAGTGTAATTCTACGTAATTTACTATTTTCTGCAAGATATCCTAAAGAAGTAAACATGTTTCTTTTCTTTGGCCTACTGGTGAAATCAGACACGGGGAAGGTAGGTTTCTTGAATGGTAGAAGACCACACAGGGTGTGAGGAAACCATGCTAATGTTTATTTAGTGATCACCGCTGCCAGTTGGGTTTGGCTGGGAAGTCCTGTGTTTGATCCTTGGGCCTTCATGGGTGTCCGTCCTAACATTGTGAATGCCTTGGTTATAATCAAGCTGTGGAGGAAAGCGACATCGAACACTGGTGAAATCAACTCTTCGCTGGGGCTGCTTTTGTAAATGTTCAAGAGCAGTGCTGGTGATGCTGTATCAATTTCCCATTGCTGCTGTAACCCATGACTACACACTTAATGTCAAAAAACCAACAAAAATTAATTCTCTTACAGTTCTGGATACCAGAAGCCCGTAATGGGTCTTCAAGGCTAAAACGAAGGTGTTGGCAGGGCTGTGCTCCTTCTGGGGACTAGGGGAGAAGCATACTTCACTTTTTCCAGTTCCTAGAGCCTTGCAGCATTCCTTGGCATCTAGTCTTTTCTCTACCTCCTTCTACTCTCTATTTCCATCACCACATCTCCTTCCCTGATTCGGACGTTTATAAGACTCTGGTTTTATAAATCCCCTCGTGATTAGATTTGCCCGTC